TTCTAAGGAGCCTACGATTCTACAATAAATAATACTATATCAATAGTTTTTCCGTATTTGAGATACACAGCCATACACATCCACGCGATGAGGCGGGTTGATAAGTTGAACTTCAGGAAAAAACACGGCAGGAGAGTTGCTCATCCCTGAGCCCAGAGCAGAAGGTAATTCTATCCTAGATTTAGATAAAAATTGATCTTCAAATATATTTGAAGACAGAAAAAAACGACTGGAAAAGATAAGAGATTAAAAGGCCAGAATCTTCAAGATAAAACCTCATGGGCAAGGGTAGAAGTTGGGCTCGTATATCAAACTACACATAAATAGGACATAAGGGCTAAACAAAGGACAGTTTATGTTCTTTATTTTTTAATTTTTATTTTTTTGCGTTACGTGGGCCTCTCACTGTTGTGGCCTCTCCCGTTGCGGAGCACAGGCTCCGGACGTGCAGGCTCAGCGGCCATGGCTCACGGGCCCAGCCGCTCCGCTGCATGTGGGATCTTCCCGGACCGGGGCACGAACCCGCGTCCCCTGCATCGGCAGGCGGACTCTCAACCACTGCGCCACCAGGGAAGCCCTATGTTCTTTATTTTTGAAAACCTACTCTAATGGAAAATGTAGGATTCTGATTTTTCTGTTCTGGGTAAGAAGAATAAAAGAAAAGTATCTCCTCCACCCCCGCCCATGTCTGCATGGGCAGTTAAAGATCTGTAAAGAACTTTTATTCCAAAGACCTCCTGTAGATACCACCCTCTTTGACCAAAATGCCACAGGGCTGGCAAAGGTTTCTAAGCAGATTAATGAGAGGCTTCTGAAAATGTTAATTCAAGACTGCTGTCTCTCAAATTTAACCTAGGTCTCTTGGAGAGAAGTTGGTGAGTCAAGAACATTGTTAGACTCACCCTTTTAACTGCTGTAATATTGTACCAACACTTTTTGCCAAACTGTGTTATTATTGTGTAGTGATGCCATCTTAGAAGTCTGCGGATCCCTGTCATTTAAAAGCTAATCATAACATACTGTTAACATATGGGAATCCAGTCTATTCTTGTTCTCCCGGCTCATGTGCCCCAAGTGACCACAGCATTTTCTTAGCACCAGGAGGGTTGTTCTTACAGTGTTGCTACTTTTGCATTTCCTCCTTTAGAACCCTCTGAGTAAAAACAATAGCAGGGGGAAGAAGCAGCCATGCAATTTACTCCAGCAAGTAAACGCCAGGATCTGTTGAGTGGGTGTATTCCCTGCAATTCACCCATGTGTGTTTTCCCTTTCTGGAGAAGATGAGGAACAAAAATAACTTCACACATCACCAATGTTTCCCACCAAGCCATTTCACATGGTCCCGTCCCCCTAATCACAAATGTGCCTCCACTCTGGCACACAAATCACCCGCCACACACACACACACACACACACCCAAGATTAAAGAAAAGGAGACCGGCCTAAGAAAGCAAGTTGTGCGGATACTTTATACTCCCCATGAGATCTGCTGGGAGTGAAAAATAAAAAGTCAGCCTGTAGAAATTTACATAGTCTCAAAGTCTTTCCCCACAAAACGTTTATTAATTAGGTGGGGGAAAATCATATTTTAAAATAAAGAAACCTGGCAGACACCAGGTTTCATCAAGTGACCAAAGTTAAAAGCATCAGCAATGAAACACGTCAATGTCATGTGCCTCCCGATCTGATACACTGGGAAGGACATAGCACTTCTCTGGTGTTCCTGCCAAACCTGCAGCTAATCATGAAGAAACAGACAAACACAACTTGAGAGATTCTACAAAATAAGTGGCCAGTACTCTGCAAAAAATTCTAGATCATGAAAGAAAAGGAAAGGAAAGGGGAAGGGGAAGGGGAAAGGGAAGGGGAAGGGGAGGGGAGGGAAGGGAAGGGAAGGGAAGGGAAGGGAAGGGAAGGGAAGGGAAGGGAAGGGAATGGAGGGGGAGGGAAGGGAAGGGAAGGGAAGGGGAGGGGAGGGAAGGGAAGTGAAGGGAAGAAAATGAAAGTATGACAGAGTATACCAAGGGGATTTGGGAAATATGACAACTGATGTGATCCTGGCCCAGAAAAGAGACAACTGGCAATATCTGAATAAAATCTGTAGATTAGATTATAATATTGAATCAATGTTAATATCCAGATTTTACCAAAATGTTAACCATTGTACTCCCAGTTATATGATAGAACATCCTTGGTTTTGGTAAATACACAGTGAAGTATTTAGAGTTAAAGGGGCATCATGTCTGCAATTTGCACCCAAATTTTCAAAAAGAAACTTATATACATAGCTATGTGTGCATGTGCGTGCATGTGTATAGAGAGAAGAGAGAGAAAATGACCAAGTAAGTCTGACGAGATGTAAAATGTAAACGTTAACATTTGGGGAATCTGGGAAGTGAATACAGGAATTCCTCATAACGTTTTTGCAACTTCTCTGTAAATAACATTTGTTGTTGTTTTAATTAAAAAGGAAACTTAACCTAAGTGGTGGCCTGAGCTTTTCGCGGAGGGAGCTGCAGAAGGAGGAGGAATGTAGTAGACCCCCACCTCCTTTGCTCTTCCGTCCCCAACACTGAGAAGCATTGTAACGTCTTGTGTCTCCCCGAAAGCTACTGTGGGAGGCTGCAGAGAGCTCCATGAGGGCACCACCCTATCCCCAAATCCCCAGAGCCTAACACAGGGCCTGGCATATATTAGACGCCCAAGCAATGGCCAATGGAAGGAATGATCGGACTTTAAGAACTATCTGAAAGAAACTGCAGGCAACCCCCAATCTGCAAAGTTGGTAGAACAGTGGCCCTTCTGTATAAACAGCTGGGCGGCAATGAGGGGCAGGTGGCATCAGAATGAGGAGTGAGAAGCAAGGTACAGTCCTACCCTAGGGTATTCTTTATATGGAGGAGGAAGAGGAACTGGGCATGTACCCTGGGGCTGGCCTGAACTGGCTCTGTTCCTCTGGGCGGGGTGGGGGAGGACATACATGCCAGGCACTACGTGTCCCAGCCTCTGAGGTCTCCATTGGGTCCTGCATGAGCTATCTGATGCACTGAGATAAGAAGAATGGAAGGCCAAGCTTCCCCAAAAGAACGTTAAGGCTTGAAATAGCTCTGTATTCAATTCTGTTCTTACCTCCCAAACCACTTAGTACTCGGTTTTTCAAATTCACATGGACTGGGCTTCCCTGGTGGCGCAGCGGTTGAGAGTCCGCCTGCCGATGCAGGGGACACGGGTTTGTGCCCCGGTCCGGGAAGA